GGGGGGGGGGCACCAGGGTTCAGTGATGTTTGCACGCCGGGGTGGGGGGTACACAGTCGATAGACCTTAGACCTCGCATGCCGGGACAAGGCGATATGCCCAGGGGGGTGAGGGCACGGGCTCCGACCTCAAAAGCAAGCAAGGTCAAGCCGATGCACGCCGTTCTTTAGCCGAGCGAGGACTGTCCCAGAAGGATCCGTCCAGTTGATCGAATCTTCTTGTGCGGGACAACTCTCGTGATCCCCCCCCCCCTTTTTAATTTTCTACCTTCCCCACCGCGTATCCCCTCCCCAGCAGCCGTTCGAGCGGAGCCGGGATGGGGAACGGACGTCCTCCCGCAAGTCCAAGAAAAGGAAGGAGAGAGAACGGGTATCGAGGGCGGCCGCGGGGGGGGTGGACGCGGGTGGCGGCGGCAGCACGGGGGGGAACGACCACTACGGGGACGAGGACGAGGACGGTGACAGCTACTCCGGGGTGGGGGGGGGCGCGGTGGGAGGAGGCGTCGCCTCCGTCGGGGAGGACGGGGGGGGATCGTTCGGGATCATCCCCGGGTCCCACGTCACCGTGTTGCCGTCCTTCATGGACGACCTCAAGACGAGGGAGAGCATACCGGTCCGGACGGTGGTGGAGCCGGCTCTAGCGGTGTACACGGCGTTAGGGGGGGGCGACGCCAAGGGCAAAGGAAGGGGAGGGGCGAGAGAAAGAGAAAGAACGGGCGGCCCGGGGGGAGGGAAAGGGAAGGCGCGCGTGGGAGTCGAGCCGGTGTACAAATTCAAACTGTGAGTTTTTGGAGTGTGTGTGTGTGTTTTTTTTTGTTGGTCATGTTTCTTGCACGGCGAGCGGTTTGCGAGCGCAATGGTTTACGCTTGTCGGTCGCGGTGGTGCGGGCTGCTTGTTCGTTGGGTCTTTTGTTGTCGATGTTGTTGTTGTTGTTGTTGTTGTTGTTGTCGTTGGTGGTGGTGCCGCCTTTAGGTGTGCGTAGTGCGAAGGTCGTGAGGCTCCGTTTCTTTTTTCATTTTCTCTTGTGTATCGTGGCGGTCGGTCCTTTCAGTAGCACACTCTTGTCGGAGCACGTGCGAAGACACCCTTCTCGCGGCAGTGACCCCTCCCTTCTCTCTTCCCCTTTCGCGCCAGCATGCGGTCTCTCGTGTACGATTCGCCGACAATCTTCTGTCTGTTGACGTCGCCGTGTTGTTTTTGGGGGGGAAAGCTGTTTTTTCGTCCGCGTAACAGGTTGACTGTTTTTTGGTTCCCTTCTCTGTAGTATGTTGGCCTTAGCCGCGTATGTATGTCTGGGCCGGCCTTCTTGTTGCTTGCTTTTCGTACCCGACGAGCGCGGATCACGTGCTTGTGGTACACACGTATCTCACCTTTTGCCCCCGGCCTGTTGCCGGCAGCTGCTACTGACCTACCACTCGTCTAATTCGCCCTTTGTTCCACTATGCTCATCCGCCATGACCGCCTTCACCATTCCACCACGGCCACCATGACGCACCGTCACTGCCACCAACACCTCCTCTACCACCACCACACCAGACGAGGCAGGATCGGCCGAGGCGGGCGGGTAATCTGGGACCGCGTCCCGGTGAGAGGGGCGGTACCCGTGAGAGAGGACGGGCTAGCAGACCCGGAAGAGGCGCCTGTGGTGGTGCACAGCAGCTACGTCCAGTTCCCCTTCAAGCCTCCCGCGGCTCACGTCCTGCACCCGCCGATGGTCAACCTCAATGTGAGTGGGATCATCGTTGCCGTGTGTGTGTGTGTATCAGCATCGACCGCGCTAGCCGGCTGACCGATGCAAGGCTTGGTGTGTGTTGTCTTTGTTGTTTGCATTGACCGCGCTAATCGGCTGGTCGGTGAAGAGATATTTGAGTGTCTCAGGACACAAAGCGCTTCAAAGGCCATGTGTGTGTTGTTGTTTTTGCAAGGGTTATGTGAAGGGGATGCGGAGGGAGTGGGAGTGGGACGAAAGGATCGGGGGGTGTTAGTTTGGCCACCCTGTTTGCACCCCGCTGTAAGGCGGAGGACGAGTTAACATTGTTTTTCATGTGTTTACAACGGGAGGCACTGTAGGACTCAGTCCCTCGACCCCAGGGGCGGTTGTTAGGGATATCGGGGAGATCAAAGGCAGTCACTTGGGATGACACCGGGCGGTCCTTTCCTTATTTTCCTGCTGATCGAGGGTGGTTGTGAAGAACGCAGAAGGGTCGCGGTGTTTTTCGATGGCGAACGGGCGGGTAAATTACTTACTATGAGACGCCTTGGAGTGGAGGCACCGACTTCCCACGACTTCCCGAAATTCGTCGCAACCGACCTCCGACGAGCACCACCACCCGCTGCTGCAGTATCACCAGCTGACACCCCCCTCCCCGCCCTCTCCCGCCCGCGCTCCCCCGTGCCCCGCCTCCCGTGGTCGCTCTCACCCGTCGTTGGCTCTCTCCTCTCACCCGGTCCCATCGGCGTGCAGGCCGACGAGAGACGGTATCGCGAGATCTGCGCCATGGACGATGATCAGGAGGAGTTATTGGAACCTCTCGGCTTGGGGCTGCTAGGGAACTCGTCAGGGGCGCCTTCCGCTTCGGCGGCGGCGGCAGCAGCGGCGGCGGCGGCGGCGGCAGCGGCGGGAGGAGGCGACCCCAGAGCGGCGGCGGCGGCGGCGGCAGCAGCAGCAGCGGCAGCATCGTCGTCGTCGTCGTCGTCGTCATCGTCAGCGCCGAAGATTAAGTACGCCATTGAGGTGTAGGTGGAGGCAGAGAGGAAGGGTTGTCGACGAAGTAGTAGTTTACCCGTGGGGGGGGTGGATGGGGGTGGATTTGCTGTTAGCGACGGAGACATGAACGCTCGCATGACATGAATCACGGCGGCAACCGTTTGGAAAGAACGCGGAGAGGATGAAAGAAGAACGCTACTCCGGGATGATATTGGTGGTAACTTTTTGTCGGCGGTGAGCATGCTTAAGCAAGGGCTTGTTGCGATATCCGTGGGTAGGTGTTGTACTAGCCCGAGAGAGCGAGAGCGTTGGCGTGTGGACTTGCTCTTGTATTGCGGCGGTCGCTATCTGATTACCGTTGTTTCGCGAGGTAAGACTGAAGCGCGTCGGTGGCGACGCACGATTTGACACCACACTCACCGCTAGTAGTACTGTTGAGGCCGTTTTCTTGTGCGTTCTTCTGTCATCTTGTTGACCGCTAATTAGAATTGCGGCGCTGTCTTGCATCATATGAAATGTAGGCTAGTAAGGGCGCCGTCGGCTTCTGTGCTGCTGCCAACGAACGGTTTGTTCGCAGGGTAGGTCAAGGTGATTTGTAGACGGTGCAGCAGGTTTGGTGGTATTGCGTTAAACCCGATGTGTTATTGCCGGTTTGACGGGGGGGCATGAGCCGGGTACAAGAGGCGCGTAAGATCACCGACGGCACGCTGAGGTACCTCTTGAGCAGCAAAAGAGATGGTAGCGCCCTTAATCATTGCTTCGATGAAGGATTGGAGACGAGGTCTAGAAGGCGCCAAGCACGAATCAAAATGTCAAGCAGAGTCTTGCACGCACGGCGGTCGTTCAGCTTCCCGGGTGGAAGACCAAAAAATAAGAATGCAAGTTGACCCTTGTCAATTGCGCCCCATCTCCCTCTGGGGTCTGGGAGAAGGGCGGGGAAGGGTGCGCTGGCATATCTTACCCCGGCATATCTTACCCCGGCATATCTTACCGGTAATCCGACTATAGGAGGCTTTCTGTTATCCGTTCGGTGGTTGCGCGCTTGGCCATTCGTGGCGGGATATTTCCATGCCTACCCTCACAAAGGTGAACGTTTACGACTGATGCATTGTGGTGTCCATGCCTTCCAGGAGCATGTAGTTGACCTGTGACCGCGGAAGGCGTCCGTGTCCGTTGGACCGGAACGGATGTCAAAAGGTACTGAGCGAATTGGTTCTCAATTTTGTTAAGTGAAAACGAAACAACCACCACATCAACCAACAAGCAATCGTTTGAGACAAAAACTCGCGTACAAAAGCAACTTGTTCTCGACGTTGTTATCACTTTAGTTAGCATTGGATTGGATGAGACTTCCTGCCCCGAATGCAATTGGTCCTCGCCCCTGGATCTTTCGCCGCGCTGAAGAGTGAGGAAGCACAGCGCCACCGCGACAGTCAGTTAGCACGAAGAAATACAGTCGGTGCCGGTCGCCCCGGTGGTCTAGTGGTATTCTCGTAATCCGCTATTAGTCGCAGAGGTCGTGAGTTCGAATCCCCGTGGGGTGAAAAATTTACGAAATTTGCGGGTGAACACGAAACATAGCTAATAAACTCTCGTGAGTTACCAAACTTCGACGTTAGCACAGTTGACGAGGGAAAGGGACGGCTGGACCTTTCTCGCGATAAAAATAAAAATTCAGCACGTACCGCAGGAGTAAGCTGGTGTTTACCCCCTCCTGTGTGACCCTGGATGGTTGTTGTACGAAAAGTACATTGAGTAGTGTAGTACTCTACATACGCTGAAAAGTGTAGAACACGTCTCACCACGAAAAAAATGGGGGGACTGTCGCCGTAAATAGGGCGAAAACACAACACACAGTTAGTCTATCACTAGACCTACTACGTACGGAAAATGTTTTCTTGTACACATACTGTCGGAGTCCCTACAGGTCCTTGCTACAAAATGCCGGGTGGGCGGGACGTCCTCTGCTCAATCTGCAACAGTAGAGGCCCCTGTTTAGTGCCGGTTGAATCGTGCCGGTGCCCGGTATCGTGCCACCGGCAACACGTTCGGATTTCGGCACAAATTCAAAGTCAAATAAAAAAGAGGAGTGCCAAAATCGGGTACACCCGGCCCCAACCCGGCCATTATCGGGTACACTTGTTTTTCACAGTCGGCAGCGCCCTCCTGGCGCCATCTGATTGGCCGATGCCCGCCCCTACCCGGCCCTGACCCTATTCCCACCGGGTGCACCCGATCTTGGCTACTAACCCCCCGGAGGGGTACCCGATCTTATTCTCGCCTACCCGAAATTGGCTGGGCTATTCGACCAACAGACCACCAGCAGGCCACGCTCACGAACACATGTCACCAACACCACGCACTCGAGTTCCGACGCTTCCGACGGCGGGCGGAGTATAAGCTGAGAGAGCTCGAGAGGTTCCACGGCATAGGTTCCATCGCATAGGTTCCACCGCATAGTAACCGTCATGGTATACATATGCCCCTATCTGCGTGCTCCCGTTGGTATCGGCAGATCTACCAGAGTCCGTATCCAAACACACGAACACCCTTCCTGGTTCGTCACGCAAGTGGCGAATCACCAGTGGGGCATGGATACCCCAGATCTACCTGAAAGACTCAAATCAACAACGGTGCGGGGGAAAATCCGGCCATCCGAATCAAAAACCCTCGCGTACCCAAATATAGAAACCGTTGCTATCACGGAGGATTCCAACGGCCGCACTTCCAAGACAAAGACCAAATGGCAGGACAAATTGGACTGGTCATGTGACGTGCCGACCAATGCTTCCTGCATGACAAACCATGGCCATAGATGCCCAGTGCTACATGCAACACAGAAATCAGAACATTCGAGATGCTCAGTGCTAAAACACAGTAACACAGAAGCCATGACTACTACTCCGGGAGGTTCATCAGGGCCTTTCGGTCGTACTCCAGTTTGGTCCTACCAAGGACCTTGGTCAGCATGTATGTCGGCGTGTTGCTCTTCCGTCGGGATATACTCTGCGGTGATCTTCCCCGACTTGAAGAGCTCGCGGATAAAGTGGTACCGCACGTCGATGTGCTTGCTCCTCGCCGAGCTCAAGGGGTTCTGCACCAGGGCAAGAGCTCCCTTGTTGTCTTCAAGGACCTTGATCTTCGCCCCACTCGTCTCAGGCGCTACGAAAGACAGAACCGCACGCACATGCAACGCCTCCTTCACTCCCTCCCCGGCTGCTAGATACTCTGCCTCCGAGGATGACTGCGCCGGCACACGCAGCGTCTTTGTGGCTCCGTTCACTGTGTTACCACCTACGGTTACGGCTAGTCCCGTCGTCGAACTCCTGTCAACAACGTCGTCGGCGTAGCTGGCATCGACCCACACTCCTAGATCTAGCCCTGACCCCCGCACATAGGTGAGGCTCAGGTCCTTCGTGGCGTTGAGGTAAGACATGACCCTCAGAAGCGCCTGCCATATCCTGTCGGTGGGAGAGTGAGCCACCTTCTGGATCTTGTTCAACGGCANAACATAGATGAGGCTCAGATCCTTGGTGACGTTGAGGCAAGACATGGCCCTCAGAAGCGCCTGCCATATCCTGTCGGTGGGAGAGTGAGCCACCTTCTGGATCTTGTTCAACGGCCGCGCGATGTCCGGCCTCGTATGCACCACCCACATCAGGCACCCGAGTGCCTCCCTCACTGGCTTGTCCACCGTGGGCTCGTCACCTCGTTTCGGCTCCTTCTCGTTCGTCTTGTACGAAAACACCCACTTCGAACTCCCTGCCTTCCGCCCCTCGGGAAGTTTTCCAATTTTCGTGAAAGTCCCCGCCTTGTGTAGACCACCCTTCTCTTTCATCATCGCCGCTTCCCAAAACACCTTGTTCTTGGAACCCATCGCATCTTTGTATGTGAGCGGGACAGCCTCTACATCGTTAGGCTTCTGCCCTTTCGGCGAGGGAATACTTAGCTCTGGGTCAAGCAGTGTATGCGGAGACCCGTCGTCCTTTTCGTTTGCACTGAATGCCAGCTCCAGCTCCCCTGCATCAGGATGGAGCGCCTTCACTAGATCGTACTGTAACCGCTTCTTCAGCTCCTCACGGTGCGCTTGCTCGTCTTGCATGCGCTCTTCCAACAGCGATTCGCGGATATATTCCACAACGATCTTCGGGCCGTTCTCGGTCTCCAGGACGATTGACTACAGCACCTACCTCCTCGGGGGCTGGCGCCTCGCTCGGCTCTTCCTCGGAGCTCCGCAACCCCCGGGTCTGCTTCCGGGTGCGGCCGAGCTGGAGCACATGGCGCAGCTGGTCGGCGCTCGACGCTTCCCAAAGAAGTTTCTTCCCTTCCCTTCCTGACGGGTAGCGGCTGTCGGCGGGGTCGTACATCAACTCCTCGAGCGTCTCAGGCTCGCCGCCTTCATTATCGTCACCATCGTTCTCACCGGGGTCGCCTGTCTCGCCGCCGCCATCGTCATCGCTGCCGCGGTCGACGGCCTCGCTGCCGTCACCGTCGTCGTTGCTGCCGTCGTGGCTAGATGTGCTGCTGACGGGCTCGCTCCCGCCGCTGCTCTCATCACCAGAGTCGCCGCTGAGTGGTTCGCTGCCGCCTCCCTCGTGGTTGTTGGAGACGTCGCTGGGGCCAATACTGTCGTTGCTGTTGCTGCTGTTGTCGGCGGGGTCATCGCCACCGCCGAAGTCACCCCCTTCCGAAGAGGGCGACGGGGGACCTCCGCCTTCATCCCCCTGCATCCCATTTCCGGGTGCCGCAGGCGCCTCCATGCGCACGAGCGGAGTCGCTTGCCCCAGCCCACGAGCGTCGTCTACGTCGAGGTCGAACTCACCCCTTGAGTCTTCTTCCCCCCCTCCACCTTGACGTGACGCGCCCTCATTGCTCTCGCCCTCCCCGCCCTCCTCATCGTCTGCGAGAGGCGCTGGCTGCAGGGGGCCGGGCGAAGCAGCGGGCACGTGGCGCCAGGTGAAATTTCGGGTGACGATTACTGTTCCAGCTTCGGTTAGCATGCGAACGCAATCACGGGAGTGGTTGTGGGCTGGTCCAAGGTACCATCCTTTTTGTCCCTTGGGTTGCGCCTTTGCCTCTCTTCTTGATTGGAAGACGGCTGCTTTGAGGAACGGGTACAACCGCATATTGGTGAAATTGAGAGCGAATCATCTGATTGAGAGCGAGATTGCGCGATGCGCTGCAGCTGGACTACTGCTGAGAGGTGGAGCTTGCTGTGTAGCTTGAATTGAAGGGCCAGCCCGTAGCTACAAGCAGATACCCTGGTCATCATCCTGTGGGAGTCTCTCGATGTGGAGTTACAGCGGCAAGTAGAGGCTACAGCAGAGCCCACCGCCCGAGGCCAAACCGCCCTGCAACAGTTTGAGGCAGGAATAGCCAATCTGGGGAAATTTAGCAGCTTGCCTAGCTCCTAGCTGCAGCATCCCATGACGATGACACGCATATGCTCGTGACGCTGCTGATGAGACCTTCAATTTGCGCCGCTTCTTGGAAGAGCCCGCCCCCAACTTCCCAAGAAATGGCAAGGGGCGTCTGAACCCGAATTTTGATTTTTTTGGCTCTCGCTCTCAATTTCATGCTTCGTTCTCAATTTCACCAACATGTTGTTGTACGTTGACCGGACCGGCGGCGGTGTGCCGTGAAACATCTCGTAGGGGGTTTTGTGGCCAGGGTTGCCCATGGTGGCGGTGCAGTTTATTTGGTGGCACGCGCAAGAGATGGCTTCAGCCCCTAACTTGGGGGTATTGGGCGCATCGGGGAAGATGCCGTAGCTTGGATACGCGCGGCGAGCGCGGCATCAGTGATCACCCCCAACGCTCTCTCAGCTACACCGGTGTACTTGACCGTGTCAGGAGGGGTAAACTCTTGCTTGATGCCGTATTTGCGGCAAACATCCGCGAATGCCCCTTGAA